GAATTTTCAGACTTCAGATCTCTTTCACTACAGTTTAATGAATTGAATATTGACAAGGACTTTAAAGGGTTAGTTCACCCAAATATGAAAATTAGCCCAAGTTTAACTCACCCTCAAGGAATCCTAGGTGTATATGACTTTCTTCTTTCAGACGAATCCAATCAGAGATATATTCAAATTTTTCTTTGCTCTTCCAAGCATTAGAATGGGAGTAGGCAGGTGTTTTTGTTCGACAGTCCAAAAGTAGTCAAATAAAACACATCTATCCATATTAAAACGTGCCTCACCCGGCTCCGGGGGGTGAATAAAGGCCTCCTGTAGCGAATCCATGCTTTTTTGTAAGATACGTTGTTTTTTTGTTGTTGTTGTTTTTTTATTGCAAGTATAAACACTTACCTTCAACAATTAATGTAACATTGGATGACATTATAAATACAGAAACACAAAGAAAATTATGTAATTTTGGAGATGTTGAAGAAAATTTACATTTATGAATATAATATTTTCCCAATAAAATAAATACATTTCCTATATATTCTATGTTATGTTTACAATGTGAAAAATAACAAAATATATCACACATAGTAACATCAATGTCTACATTAAATTTTAAAGAAAATAATTTTGACACGTCATACCAAAATTCCTTAACAAGGGGGCATTTGAAAAAAAGATGATCAATAGACTCAATGCTGACATTACAGAAATTACAATTCAGATGAGGATTACCAAATTTGGATGTAATCTCATTACTGGCGTATATATTATGCAAAATCTTTAAATTTAATTATTTTACTTTGTTGGGGACACAGAATTTATAAGGTAAGAGCCATGCTTTTTTCCAATTAATCTTATCTATTAAAGAATTCCAAAAAAAAATTCCCCTCGGAGTAATTATTTTCCTTGACTGAAACACATTTCTTATAATTTTATTATTACATTTTGGGTCATAAATGCACTTGTCATCAACCAAAAAATTTGGTTCCCTTTTTACAATCTCTTCAAATGATAGATGTGGTTTGCCAACCGCCAATAAAACACCAAAGAAGAAAGAAGAAGCTACGTTGGTTGAGGAGCACAGTGTGGAAGCTGGAGGAGCTGAACACGCAGCGCCAGCTGAAGCTTGGGCTCTGATCCTCTGGGGTGGGTGGGGCATTACACAAGGTTTTTTTTTTTTTTCTCCTTCAGTACAGATTCATCACTCATGTGCGCAAGATATACAGTAGGTGGCGGTAATACTCCTAAGGAGTGAACGGCCATTGAACAAAAAGAAGAAGAAGAAGAATGAATGCAGAGAAGGCTGTAACTCAGATGATATTATTAAGTTTATAAAAGAATGTGAATTAAGTAAGATAATATAAATAATATGTTTATTGTTATTTATTAAGACGAATGTTTTTGTTAAAGGGGGTATTATTATTATTTTTTTTTTGGCCCTTTCCCCTCTTTCACCCATCATATATATTGCATAAATCTTGATCCGCAACCAACACCTGCTTACCCCCACTGAAAGGCTTGGAGGGCCAGGACAATTGTTAAAGGGGTCGTATGATGCTTTTTTAAAGATCATTATTTTGTGTATTTGGTGTAACAGAATATGTTGACATGCATTTGTAAAGAAGAATGTCGGAGGATTTCGCTATAAGCCAAGAAGAGACTGGTTTTCCTTTGCTAAAGTAAGGAAACTTTGTTTCCTTTGCTCCTGCATTTCTCAGAGGTGCGGGCACGACGCCTACGTCCTATGCCATCCTCCTGCACGACTTCCGCGTACCACAGTCAGCGGAATTGAGGGAAAAAAGTGTTTATTACGTTTGAAATATGGATATTTATCTTACAAAAATGCATGGATTCGCTACACTAGGCCTTTATTCTTCGCTCTCTCTCGCGCTCTCTCTCACACAGAGAGAGCGCGCGCACACACACACACACACGATGCGCAAAACTCCGCATTTGAACAGTCAATAGCAAATACTTAAACT